CCGCGGCCGCCGGCGCGGCGGGCGCTCGGGGCCGCGCGCCGCAGCCTGCCCTGCTGTCCCCGCGGTGCCTCTCATCCCCGTCCCCCTCCGCAGCGTCGTGGAGCGCCGTGGAGCAGTCCCTCGTGAAGCTGGGGGAGAACCTGAGCGGCCTCGGCAGCTCCCCGCTGCGCAGCCAGGCGGACGCCTGCGTCTCGCTCATCAAGAGGTAGCCGCTCATCGTGGGCTCCGAGGGCACCCGCGCCCTGCGCCGGGCCCCCCCAGCCGCCTGCTGCCCCCGCGCTGCGTCACTGCCCTGCCCTCCCTATCGTGGGCGGCGGGGGACAGGGCTGTGGGGACCTGCTGCAAGGGGGTCTTACCTGGGGGCTGCTGCAGGGCCCCTCGCATCCGTCCTGGCCCTTGTCTGCAGGGCATTGAGCTGTTCGTGGGTGGCCAGAGCTGCTGTCCCAATCCTGGGTGGCCCAGGGGCTGCTTGCAGGGCCCAGATGGGCACTCAGCCACATCCCAAAGAGCCTGGGGAGCCAGAGGAGCATGGAGATCTGGACCGTGGCTGGGACGGGAGAGCAAAGCGTCCTAGGGCGCTCCTGTGAGCCGTGCTGCTGTCCCCCCAGCATCCCCACCATGCTCTCGGTGCACAGCGAGCAGCTGAACAAGACCGGCTTCCCCACCGTGCACGCCGTGGTGCTGCTGGAGGGCACCATGAACCTCACGGGAGAGACGCAGCCCCTCGTGGAGCAGCTGATGATGGTGAAGAGGATGCAGGTAGGGAAGCGGCACCTGGTTGCGCTGCTCGGCGGGCCTGGGCGGCGCAGGAGTGGCGCGGCGCTGCGCTGTGTGGTCCTGCTGGGTGGGAGCAGCACGAGCCCCTTGGCACGGGGAGGCTTTCGCCCTCGCGCCTTGCAGGAGGTTCAGGGCTGGGCTGTGGTCGGGGCGGCTGCTTTGTTGCTCCTGGGCTGCTCGAGGGGCTGGAGCCCGTGGGTCCCTCACGCAGGGTCCCCCCTCTGCGCCCTGCAGCGCATCCCCTCCCCGCTCTTCGTGCTGGAGATCTGGAAGGCCTGTTTCGTGGGCCTCATCGAGTCCCCCGAGGGCACGGAGGAGCTCAAGTGGACGGCCTTCACCTTCCTCAAGGTAGGAACCCACCGATGCTGCAGCCCGGCGCTGCCTTTGCCCCTGGCGCGGTCCCTGCCACGCGCTGGGCCTGGCAGAGCCGCGCGTGCCGCTCTCCCGCGGGCTCCTTCTCGCTGCCCATCTGGTGTGTGGGATGGCAGAGCCTGCGGGCAGCCCTGCAACCCGCTGTGCCCCCGCTCTGCCGCCTGGCACCTCTGCCCAGCCCAGCCCCGCTGGGTTGTGCGGAGCGTGTTCCCCGCGACGCTGGGGGGACGTGTGGCCTCCTGAGGACACCACGGGCTCCCGGCGCCGGCTGCGTCCCGTCTTTGTACCAGACAAAAGGGAGCCGGGTGTCGTTTCGGGGCTGACACACACCCTGTGCTGGGCTGCTCTGCGGCCCCGGGGTCCTGGGTGGCTGTTAGGAGGCGGCTGTGCCCTGCACGGGCCGTGGTTGAAGGTCCCTGTGGAGGGGAAGGGGGGACCCTGACCTGGGGGACCAGGTCCCTGTGGAGAGAGGAAGGGGCCAAGCTCTTCTCAGTGGTGCCCAGTGACAGGACAAGGGGCAGTGGGTATAAGTGGAACCACAGGCAGCTCCATCTCCGTGTGAGGAGGAACTTCTTCACTGTGAGGGTGCTGGAGCCCTGGCACAGGCTGCCCAGGGAGGCTGGGGAGTCTACTCTGGAGATCTTCCAAACCCGCCTGGATGCCACCCTGTGCTCTGGGTGTCCCTGCGGGAGCAGGGGTTGGACTAGATGATCCCTAGCGATCCCTTCCAACCCCAGCCACTCTGTGATTCGGTGACGAGGCGCGTATCTTGCTTGTAAAACACCCCTTCCCCTGGCTGGGAGAGCGCCTGGTGACCCCGGGAGCTCTGCGCTTGTCCTCGCAGCCGGCGATGCCAGGGGATCCCCAAACGGCTCCGCGGAGGTGCTCATGTCCATGCTCTGCTTCTTTCAGATCCCCCAGGTGCTGGTTAAGCTCAAGAAGTACCCGCAAGGAGAGAAGGTGAGTGACGAGGCTGCTGGCTGGAGGTGCTGGCCATGTCGTGCGCCCGGGTGAATGGTGCTTGTCACGGTGTCCTGCCAGAGCTGCATGGGCCCCCGCTGGCGCAGCAACGGGCTGCGTCCTGGCAGCTTCCTCTGGACAGACGAGACGGAGCGGGAGGGAGAGGGGGGTTCGTGCCAGCTCGGGCGGCAGCTGCTGCCAGCCGAGCGCGGCGTTTGTGCCCGGCAGGACTTCACCGAGGACGTCAACTGCGCCTTCGAGTTCCTGCTGAAGCTGACCCCTCTGCTCGACAAGGCGGACCAGCGGTGCAAGTGAGCGCCCGCCGCGGCCTCGGCGATGCCATGAGCGTCGGTGGCACCGGGGCGAGCGCCGGCCCTCTCGCCGTGACGCTTGCCCGTCTTTTCCAGCTGCGACTGCATGAACTTCCTGCTGCAGGAGTGCAGCAAGCAGGGGCTGCTCTCGGAGGCCAACATGAACAACCTCGTTGCCAAACGGTAGAGCCCCCGGGGTGGCCCGGGAGCCAGGGCGGGTCAGGGATCTGCGTTCCCTGCTGTTGGCACGCGCTGCCCTGTGGGGAGAAGGCTTTGCTTGGCACCACAAACTGAACGTGGCAAAGTGTCGTCTCCGAGCGGTGGTGTCCTGGGCTGGCAGCCCGGGCTCCCCGGGGAGGTGGTGGCACCGGGGTGGAGGTGAGGGGGGTGGCTGAGCCTTGGGTGGGCGCCAGGAGGGCTGAGGGGCTGCTGCTCACGACGCCCGCCTCGCACATCCCCCAGCACGGCTGACAGGGAACACGCGCCGAGCTTGAGTTCGGCGGAGAACGCCAACATCCAGCCCAACCCCGGGCTCATCCTGAGGGCCGAGCCGACTGTCACCAATATCCTAAAGGTGAGTGTCCTGGCGCCCTGCGCGGGGCCGCGTCGCGGAGCCTGTGTCCCGCAGCGCTGCCTTCCCCGGGCCGCTGGAAGGCGGCTGGAAGTGCTCGATCTCCCCCTGTGCTGTGGGAGAGGAATTGCTGCCAGCCTTGCTGCAGGGCTGCAGCCTGCTAGAGCCTCCTCTTCCTCCTCCTCCTCCTCCTTCTCCTCCTCCTCCTTCCCCCCACCTCCTTCTCCTTCCTCGGCAGCCCGAGGAGCCATCAGGCCACACGTTGCCTTGTCAGTGCCAGCAGCGCGTGCCAGCTCAGCCCGTGCAGCCGTGTGGCGCTTGCCGGGCACGCGGGTCCGTGCTCGCCCAGGCTGTGTGCTCCACAGAGCACCTTTCCCCTCATGGCCTTCTCCCTTCCCTCTGTGTTCCCGGTTTTAGACCATGGATGCGGATCACTCCAAGTCCCCCGAGGGCCTGCTGGGCGTCCTGGGCCACATGCTGTCCGGGAAGAGCCTGGATCTGCTGCTGGCGGCGGCGGCGGCCACAGGCAAACTCAAATCCTTCGCTCGGAAGTTCATCAAGTGAGTGTGTGCCCAGTGGCACCATGGCCAGGGGCACCGGAGAGGTCACTGAGCGGCACTGGCTCCAGCAGAGTCCCGGCCTTCCCGCCGTGCTCTGGTGCGATCCGCAGCACCACGGGTCCGAGCAGGCGGGAGCGTCGCATGCCGACGGCACTGGCCCGGATCTGGAGCGCTCGTGTGCGTCGTGAGCGCCTGTAGTCCGGTGTGTGCGTGTCGTGAGTGCCTGTGGCCCTCCATGCGTGTGTCGTGAGCACCTGTAGTCCTGTGTGCGCCTGTTGTGAGCACCTGTAGTCCCGTGTGCGTGTCACGTATGCCTGTAGTCCCCAGAGCGCAGGGATGGCAGTGCCCTGGGGAGGAGATGGGAGAAGAGGATAGGGGCCGAGGCAGCTCCTCTGCCAGCGTGGGGATGGGAAGAGGCCTTTGCTTTGCCGTGGCGGGGCTGATGACGAGGGTGACGCTGTTTCGTTGTGTGTCCCTGTAGGCTGAACGAGTTCACGAAGCACATCAGCGCCGGGGAGAGCTGTAAGTGCGCGCGGGCCGCACGGAGCCACTCGGAGCCACGTGGGCCACTCGGAGCCACGTGGCCGTGTGCCAGGGCTCTGCCAGGGCCAGCTGCAGGCCAGGAGCTGCCGCAGGGCGCCCGGTGCGTGGCCGCGTGGCTGGGTGCCAGCTGGGACACGGACCCTGGGGAGCCGCGGCCCCGGCGTGTCCGTCTGCAGTGCCTGGTGCTCCCGGCCTGCAGGGAAGGGCTCCCTCTGGCCCAGCCCGGCCCACGGGGCCTCTCAAGGGCAGCCCTGCCCCAGCAGCCTCCCGGGAAGGGGTGATGTGTCAGCACGGAGCCCAGATAAGGACGCTGAGTGCGTGTGCACGTGATTAAACACGCCGTGTGCTCTGACCTTCCACGGCGCGGGGGGAGCCGGGGCCGGCTGCGCGATGGGAAGCCAGACCCGCTGAGCGAGGCCCCTGAACGGCCCGGGTGTCCTCGCTCATGCACAGGCCCCGTGGGGGTCAGGAGAGCCCTCATGGCCCCAGGGATCCCGCCGCGTTGGAGCTCCCTCAGTCTTTGCTTCTCTTCCCGCAGCCAAAGCGGCCTCGGTCCGAGCCCTGCTGTTCGACATCTCCTTCCTCATGCTGTGCCACGTGGCGCAGACCTACGGCTCCGAGGTAGCCACCTGCCCGCCCCACGGGGGGAAAGAACGGGAGGCAGATCCTGATCCTGGTGCGTGGGGGAGACTCTGCCCCGCGGAGCCGCGCGGGGCCGCCCGGCCTCCTCCAGCCTCCGCCCGCGCTCCCAGGGCTCCCGCTTGCTCCCCTGCCTTCTCTGTCCCTTTCCGGGTGTCCCCACCGTGTCGCAGGGGCCCATGACGCTCACGTGTCCCCCGGGGGCTGGCCTGGCCGGCTGGGCTCTCCCCAGGCCTTTCCCAGCCTGGCGCTCGGCTCCCGTGTGCTGCAGGGTAGGCAGAGGCCCCTGGTTTGTCCGGGGGTCCCTGCAGCCGGGCCGGGCGTCCGCCCTTCCTCCTGAAAGGAGGAACTTGCAGCTCCACTCAGGAAGCAGCCCTTGGGTTGCATGAAAAATTTTCCAGGTTTCAACATTTGTGCGTGTTGAGGGGGAGGCGAAATGATAGCGAAAGAGCAGGAATGTTGAGCGAGAGGGAATGCGGCGGGACCTGCCCGCGCGGCCGGACGCAGCTCGGAGCCGCACGTGGTGCCGGCCCGTGGCCTGGCCTGGAGAGCTTTTCCTGACCAGCTGTTGCTGAACAGATGTGCAGAACGTTTCCCTTTGGACAAAAATAGCGTCCCTTGGGTCACGGAGGGCTGAGGGGAGGAAGTGGTGGGTGGGATTCCCAGCTCGTGTCCCCCTCGGGATCGCTCCCAGCTGGCTGCCAGCTGGGCTGGGTGCCCCAGCGCGGGGCTGCACTGCGTGGCTGGGGTGTCCAGGCATGGCAGGGCAGCTCCTGCGGGCCACAGAGCCCATGGTGCCACTTGGGGACATGCTCCGGGCCCCTCGGGATTGGCACGGTGCCACCATGGCCACAAGGGCACCCCGGGCAAAGCGCAGCCCGCAGTGTCTGGCTGGGGAGGGCAGTTGTCCCCAGACAGGGTCCCCAGGGTGCAGCGCCCACCATGCCCCTGTTCCCGTGCAGGTGATCCTCTCGGAGTCGAGCCCGGCGGGCGAGGTGCCCTTCTTCGAGACGTGGATGCTGACGTGCATGCCCGAGGAGGGCAAGATCCTGAACCCCGATCACCCCTGCTTCCGCCCCGACTCCACCAAGGTGGAGTCCCTGGTCGCCCTGCTCAACAACTCCTCCGAGATGAAGCTGGTGTAAGAGGCGGGGGCTGCGGCGGGCGCCGCCGCGCTGCCCCCAGCCCAGCTCTCCCCTCGCCTCTCCGGCAGGCAGATGAAGTGGCACGAGGCCTGTCTGAGCATCTCGGCTGCCATCCTGGAGATCCTCAACGCCTGGGAGAACGGTGTGCTCACCTTCGAGTCCATCCAGGTGGGTGGGCAGAGCGTGCCAGGCCTTCGGGCTCGAGAGGGGCTGGGGGGGACCCTCCTTCTTCTGCTGCAGAGCTGCCAGCTGCTCCAAAACGTGCATGTCTTCCCCCAGAAAATCACCGACAACATCAAGGGCAAGGTGTGCAGCATGGCGGTGTGCGCGGTGGCCTGGCTGGTGGCCCACGTCCGCATGCTGGGCTTGGACGAGCGGGAGAAGTCCCTGCAGATGATCCGGCAGCTGGCGACGCCGCTGTACGGCGAGAACACGCTGCAGTTCTACAACGAGCGGTGAGGCCGGGCCGGGCCGGGCGCGGGACCCCCACCGGCACCACCATGACCCTCTTCTCCCTGGGCTGCAGCGTGGTCATCATGAGCTCCATCCTGGAGCACATGTGCGCAGACGTGCTGCAGCAGACGGCCACGCAGATCAAGTTCCCCTCCACGGGCATGGACACCATCCCCTACTGGAACCTCCTGCCCCCCAAGAAGCCCATCAAGGAGGTGCTCACGAGCGTGTTCACCAAGGTGCTGGAGAAGGGCTGGGTGGACAGCCGCTCCATCCACATCTTCGACACGCTGCTGCACATGGGGGGCGTCTACTGGTTCTGCAACAACCTGGTTAAGGTTCGGGCTGCCGGAGGCCGCGCTGGGCCGGGAGGGAGGTGTCCGAATTATCCCAGCGCCGAGGCCGAGAGCAGCCCGTGCGCTTCCTGCCCGGCCTGCGCTGGGACTTGACCGTGGTACCTGTGTCTCGGGGCTGGCAGCGCAGGGACGGGGCTGGCAGCGCAGGGACAGTCCCTGGCGCTGGAGCGGGCGAGCCTGGCCCCTCAGCGTGGCCCTGCGCCTTGCAGGAGCTGCTCAAGGAGACGCGGAAGGAGCACACGCTGCGCGCCGTGGAGCTGCTCTACGCCGTCTTCTGCCTGGACATGCAGCAGCTGACGCTGACGCTGCTGGGCCACATCCTGCCCAACCTGCTCACCGATTCCTCCAAGTGGCACACGCTCATGGACCCGCCGGGCAAGGCCCTGGCCAAGTAAGGCTCCCGTCCCGCTGTATCCTGGCCTCCGTCCGCGCCCCTCGCGCTCCCGCTGGGAAGGGACATGCGGGGGGCCTGGGTCCTGCTCCCTGCTGCCCATGCCCCTTGCTGAGGAGGGAGCTGCCACATCCCATCCCTGCGTGTGCTCCAGGCTCGGTGGTCTTCCTGAGAGGGAGCCGAGCTCCCGCTGGGAGCCCGGGCGGGCCGGCCGCCCCTCCGCAGCCCCGCTCCTCCCGCCAGGCTCTCCGTCTGGTGCGCCCTCAGCTCCTACTCCTCCCACAACAAGGGCCAGGCGTCCACGCGGCAGAAGAAGAGGCACCGAGAGGACATCGAGGTGTGTACAGCACCGGGGGGCCCGGGGGTGACCCTCCCTGCGCCCTCCCTGGGCTGCCCCGGGAAGGGGGAACGCGGCGGGTGGCCCAGGCCGAGGCGCGTGGCACGGCCGGCGTCGCCAGGCGGGGGGCCCGGCGCTGCGCGGAGCAGCGTCCCCTCGGGAAGGGCCGCCGGGGCTGATCCCCCTCTGCCCCCAGGACTACATCAGCCTCTTCCCGCTGGACGACACGCAGCCCTCCAAGCTCATGCGCCTGCTCAGCTCCAACGAGGAAGACGCCAACATCCTCTCCAGCCCCAGTAAGTGCACACCTGGGGGCTGCCCTGGGAGGACACGGCTTGCCTCGCCGCGCGCTCGCGGGCCGGCGGCGCCAGCGCAAAACAAACCTTCTCCTAGGCTCACCCGGTGCCCCTGGCTCGCGGTGCCGCGGCCTCCACGTGGCCTCGCCTTGCAGGCCCGGTGCAGCGTCGAGCGTGGCACCAGGAGGCAGCAGCTCGCTAGGAGCTCACGCTAGGAGCTCAGTGCTCACTAGGAGCCCAGGAGCTCTCTTGGATCTCAGCACCTCACCAGGAATTCAGTGCTCACTAGGAGCTCGGCAGCTGACCAGGAGCTCAGCACTCCCTTTAGCTGCGCTGTAAAATACCCCGTGTCTGACCATCCCTTTGCCACAAGCACGCGGAGACCGCGGTGACGTTCTCAAAATCCCCCGTTACCGGCAGCGATTTAGCGAGCTCAAGTGGGAGAGTTCTGCCGAGTTCCTGTGGGGCTTTTGCACCGAGGAAAGTCTGCGGGTTTTTGTTCCCCTGATGGAAAAGACTTTAGGAAGAGGGAGGAGGTTCCTCCTGCTTCTGTGGTGCCACCACCCTTGGCAGTGCCCAGGGCGTGGGGCTCGCAGAGGTTTTGTTCAGTCCTCTCTCTCTGGGGGGGACTGGGGAGCTGTTGCGCTGTCCCCCTCCCTGGCACGTCAGGAGGTGACGTTCCCGCTATATCTGGGATTAAATCCCAAAATTCCAGTGTTGTTCACGAGGTGGCCAAGGCAGCTGATGAGGCCCTGCAGTCACGTCCGTGCGGATGCGCCGCGTTGCGACAGCGCTGGCAGGAAGCGCCGCCGGGGTCCTCGTCCCCTCCTGCCATGCGGGATGCGACGCCGCTCCTGGGCAGTGACTCAGGATCTTCCCTGCTCCTTGTTTCTTCCGATGCCCTTTGTCCAACTTGCTCTTTGTTAGATAGTTCTCAGCGCATCCATCAACTCGTGGTTTCATTACTGTTGAAATTTGGGGCTTTCCCTTTATTTCGCTATCTTTTTTTATCCGGTGGGGCATTCTCCACCTCTTTCCAGTGACATTCAGGACTTTTTTTGGTCGGTCTGCTGCCGAGATTTGGAAATCCCGTTTCCGGCGCCGGCCGCATAACTCAGTAATTCCATGAGAAAAGGCGGGGAGGGCTCTTTTTTTAGCGAGCATCCTCGGGCAGCACAAGGTGGGTGCCGCTGCTTGGAATCGCCCTGGAGGATGAGTGTGCTCAGGAGGCCCCGTGGTGACGCCGGCTCCGCTCCCCTGGGCCCGGGCGGGGAGCCTGGGGCTGGGCCCGCTGGGCTCCCATGGGCCACATTCCCCTGTTCTTCCCAAGGCTGCTGCTCCCATCCCAGCTCCGGTAGCCCATTCCTCCCCTGGAAGCCGTTCCCGGCGCTGCCGTGCAGCTGGGGAACATCTGGCGCTCACCAGGCGTGCTGGTGGCGGCGCCTCCCCTGCCTCTCTCCCCTCGTCATGTGTTAACGCTGCTCGGAGGCGCTAACGAGGCATTTGCAATTAGGGCTAAGCGTGCCCGGCTGCCCGCTGCCTGTCCCTCGGGCCTGTCCTCCCGCCCGGTCCCGCCTGGAGCACATCCGCACGGTGCGAGCGCGGAGCGCGGTGACACGGAGCGCGGAGCACGGACGGCCGAGCCTGTCCCCGCTGCCAGCGCTGCCTCCCGTGACAAACACTGAGGCTCTTGGCGCGCTCCGCGTGCTGGCCGTGTCCCCGCGGCAAGGATGGCCTGGGTGCCCACCGTGTCCCTGACGTCCCCGTGCCGTCCCGGAGCTTGGGAGCGCGGCCGGCGCCAGGGCGGGATGGTGCCGCGTGGGCTGACGCGCGTCCTCTCCCCGCAGATCGCTCCATGAGCAGCTCGCTGTCGGCCTCGCAGCTGCACACGGTCAGCATGAGGGACCCGCTCAACAGGGTGCTAGGTAATTCCTGGGAGCCTGCGCGGGCCTGGGGGGCTCTGCGGCCCCGGAACACCCGGCCGGGGCCGCCCGTGCCCGCGGGGGCTGCTGGAGGCCTCCCCGGGCTGGCCGGGCTGCTGAGCTGTCCCCACGTGTGCAGCCAACCTCTTCCTGCTCATCTCGTCCATCCTGGGCGCCAAGACGGCCGGCTCGCACACGCAGTTCGTGCAGTGGTTCATGGAGGAGTGCGTGGAGTGCCTGGAGCAGGGCAGCCGCGGCAGCATCCTCCAGTTCATGCCCTTCACCATGGTGAGTGCCGCGGTGGCGGCAGCGCCTGCACAGGGCCACGCTCTGCCCTGGGCCCTGCCTGCGGCCGCGGCTGCTCCCGCTGCTGCCCACGGGGCTGCTGCAGCCGCCTGGCTCGGCCCCGGCGCTGCCCGCCATCAGCCCTTCCCTCTCTCTGGGCAGGTTTCGGAGCTGGTGAAAGTTTCCACCATGTCCAGCCCCAAAATTGTCCTGGCCATCACCGACCTCAGCCTGCCGCTGGGCCGTCGCGTCGCCGCCAAGGCCATCGCCGCCCTCTGAGCTCGGCCTCCCGCTCCTGCCATGCAGGAGGGGACAGCGGCGCCGGGACGGGGTGGCCACGGGGACAGGGGGGCCACAGGGACCGGCCAGCGCCACCGGCTGCCTGCGGAGACCCGGCACCCGCGGAAGAGCCTCCCGGTGCCTGCGGCGCTGGCCGGGCTCGGCCCCGTGTCCCTCTGTCTCCAGCGCCCCGCGCGGGGCTGTCACACAGCGGCCCAGCCCCGCTGCTCTGCAATGAATTCAGCCCTTTCCTAGAGCCGCCTCTGCCTCCTTCCCCTCGGGCTCGGCCTGCGGCTCCCGGTGCCGCGGGAGCTTGGGCAGGCGCCGGGGCTGGGCCGACGTCCCTAACCCTGCGCCCAGAGCCACGGGCAGGACCGGGCGGCCCCGAGCGCCAGCGCTGCCCGGGGAGCCCCTGGGCACTGGGGCTGCGGTGTCGGGACACGGGGCTGCGGTGTCGGGACACGGGGCTGCGAATCGGCTGCTGCCTCCCGCTGTGGCCACCCCTGCCCGGGGGCTCCTGCTGCTGCCCTGGCTGGAGCAGCACTGCATCCCAGCCAGCTGGAAAACCAGTGGGCTCCTGCGGGACCCGTCCCCGCGCACACGAGCTCATGGGCGGCTGCTGTGGGACTGGCCCGGGGCTGTCCCAGCCGCACGCGGCTCCCCCGGCTCCTGCCCTTGGCTCCGGCTGCCACCGGGCGCTGCAGGAGCCTCCGCTCCTGCCCTTCCCTCCCGGAGCCGCGTCCCAGCCCGGCGCCAGGCTGCAGCTCCAGCCGCGCTGCCACCCACACGCCCAAGGAACAGGGATGGCACCCTGGGGCTCCGGCCGTCCCCTGGCCCCGCTGCCCGCCCCGTGCCCGGCTTTACCGTTAGCGCGGAGCAAAGAGCAGACCGGGCGCCCGCGGCCGTCCCCGCTCTGTCAATATTTGCGGCCGCCCCGCGCCGGGCCCTGGCCCGGGCCCAGCCCCGGCCCTTCGCCTTCCGGGCAGGGGCCGGCGCGGGCCGCCCGTTCCTGTAAGCGCTGATAAGCCGGGGCCGGCGGCTCCGCGCCCCGCGAGCGCAAGGGGAGCGCGGAGCGAGCGCGGAGCGAGCGCAGCGGCAGCAGCGCTGGTGCCACCGGCAGCGTGGGGACGGGCCGGGGCTGCCCTATGGCCACAGCCCTTGGGCTGCCTCCGTTTTCCCGCTGTCGGAGCCCCCGGCAGCGCAGGGATAGCGGGATGGGGGGAGGCCGGAGCCACGTGAGTTCAGGGGCTCCGGAGCGGAGCTGCCGCCGGCCCCGCCGCTTTCTAGGAAAGTTGCCCAAGCGGCGGCACGGGAGGAAGCGGCTGCCGGAGCCGCCCCGTCCTGCTCCGCTCCCTGCAGCCGCTTCCCTGCGGAGCGAAGGAGCGCGCGGGAGCGCAAGGAGCATGCGGGAATGCAAGGGAGAGCGTGGGAGCGCAGGGAGTGCACGGGAGTGCAGGGAGCATGCAGGAGTGCAAGGAGCGCACGGGAGCGCAAAGGAGCCCACTTTTTGGAGCAAAAATAGACTTTATTTCCTTTTTCATCACGTATAAAAAACGACCCCGTGTTCCTTTAGGGTGACCCAGCTGCAGCAATAAATACGAGTGCAAATTGCGGCGGCGCCGCGGGCCCCGGAGTGCGGGGCCGGGACCGCACGGCTCCCGCCCGGCCCCATAACTTAAACTGCAATAAATACGGTGCCGGCGGCCCCCTCGCCCGCCCCGGCCTCCTGGCTAATAAATATTAATTACTGTAAACAGGAGCATCCCCAGCGCGGCGGGGCGCGGGGGACGCCGGGCTCAGCGCCGCGCCAGGTGCCGCAGCGCCCGCAGCGCCGTCTCCAGGAAGCGCTGGAAGTTCCGCAGCAGGAAGAAGCTGCCGACCTGCTGGTGGAAGCGGGACGCGACGGCGGGCAGGACGCCGGGGCCCTCCGGCGGGAACGTCACCAAGGGCAGGCCCAGCTCCTCCATCTAGAGCGGGGGGACGCGTCAGAGCCGCGAGCGTGGCCCGCGCGGTGCCACCGAGGGCACCGGGCACCGTGTCCCCCGCGGTGCCACCAAGGATGCAGAGCCCCATGTCCCCTCATGGTGCCGTGAAGGGCAGAGAGCTCCATATCCCCCTGATCCCACCAAGGATGCAGAGCCCTGTGTCCCTCTATGGTGCCACCAAGGATGCAGAGCCCTGTGTCACCCTGTGGTGTTGCCCAGGATGCAGAGCCCCGTGTCCCGCGTGGTACCACCAAGGACAGAGCGCCCCGTGTGCCCCGCCGTGCCGCCTGGGGCGCGGAGCCGGGCGCTCACCTGCTGCTGGATGTTGGAGGAGAGGTTGGCGGCGTCGAGCTGCAGCCGCTCCACGAGGTCGGCGTGCGCGGGCAGCAGCTCCCGCACGGCGCCCAGCGAGTGCGCCAAGACGCGCAGGCCGCCGTGCAGCTGCTCCAGGCAGGCGTCCTGTGGGCACCGCAGCGCTCGGCACGGCCCGGCGCCCCCGGGACACCCCCAGCACCCCCAGGATACCCCTGGCACCTCCGGCACCCCCGGGACACCCCCGGCGCCCCCAGGATACCCCTGGCACCTCCGGCACCCCCGGGACACCCCCGGCGCCCCAGCATATCCCCAGCACTCACCGCCTCGAAGCCGGGGCGCTGGCAGCGCTCGAGCGGCGCCGCCGGCACGTCCAGGTGCTGCCGCACCAGCCACAGCTCTTCCTCCTGGCACAGCTGGAAGGTCTCACACTGCGCCCGAGGGGGACACGGCGGCGTCAGCACCACGGGGGTCGCCCCGGGCCACCCCCCGCCCCGGCCGCGGGACCCACCACGACGTCCTGCAGCGCCGCCACGTCCCCCTTGATCTTGCGGCCAAACTCGAGGCTCTTGCGCAGGAAGAGCTGGAAGTCGTGGTCGCCCGAGACGTCGTCGGGCAGCGGCGCCGCCCGCAGCGCCGGCCACAGCGGAGCCGCCAGCGCCAGGGCCAGCAGCGGCAGCGCTGCGGGGGGACCAAGTCAGCGCCGCCGGCACCGGGACCCCCGCCAGCCCCCCGGCTTCGAGGGGCAGAGACGCACCTGCAAGGGGCACGAGCGGCCACAGGGTGCCCGCCAGCACTGGGGCCTGCACCCCACGAGCTGCTGCGCTGGCTGCTTTGGATCCCGGGGTGCTGCGGGTGCAGGGGGTGTCCCGAGTGTGGGGATGTGTGGTCCTATGGGGGCTTGCTTGCAATGGGTGCTGCGGGTGCCAGGGTGCCTCGAATGCTGGGCACAGGGTGCTCCAGGACAGGGTACTGGGATACTCTGAGTGCTGGGTGCAGGGTGCTCCACATGGGGTGCTCAGTGCAGTGGGTGCTGTGGGTGCCAGCGTGCCTTGAGCGCTGGGCACAGGGTGCTCCAGAATTGGGTGCTCTGGGTGCTGCAGCACCCTGAGCTCTGGACACTGGACACAGGGTGCTCCGGGAAAGGGATTTGGGGTGCTCTGGGGCAGGGTATTGGGGCGCTCCGGGTGCTCCGGGTGCAGGTACTCACTGCTCCAGGAGCGCATGGCGCCCGTGTCCGGCTCTTGGCGTCTCGTGCTCTCGCGGGGCCGGCGCCGCTCGCTCCTGCCCTGGCTCCGCGGCCTCATCGATTAGGGCGTTTTATAGAGGGCTCCGGGGATTCACACGGATGTGGCAACAGTGCCGATTGCCTCATTGTCTTAATCACCGATATGCAAATCCGGGCGCCGCGGCCGCCCCGCGCGGCACCGCGTCGGGGGCTTTCCTGGCGCGTGCGCCCGGGTCCCCCCGGTGCCGCCGCTGCCGCCCGGGGCTGCCGCTTGGTGACTGATTAACCGGGAGCTGGAGCGGAGCCGGCGGCTTCGCGCAGGCCCTGCCGGCCGCTCGAGCCCCTCAGCCCGGCGTCGGGGCGGCCACGGGGCTGTGACTGTCCCCGCCGGCGCCTTGGCCGAGCTGCTGCCAGGGAACCCCGGGCCGGAGCGGGGCCGGCTGCTCCCGGCGCCCCGGGCTCTGCCGTGGGATTTGGGCTCCGGCCGGGTCCCACCGGAGCTTCCAGGGTGTTCTGCCATCCCGCTGCCAGGTGAGCTGGCTGCTGGCCCCGCACCGGCCGGCCAGGATGTCTGGCAGCTCAGGGCACGGGAAAGGGACTGTCCAGATCCCAGGGCACGGGAAAGGGACTGTCTGGATCCCGGCAGGACTGAGCAGGGGGTCAGCGGGTGGCAACAGCCCCCAGGCCGCCCCTGAGCCCCTGGAGCCTCCGGAGTCCCCATCCAGCCTCCCGTTGGATGAAAGGAAACATCTGGAAAGGTGCAGACCAGCTGTGAGCACCACCCAGGGCCGTGCCCTGCACGAGACAGCTGTTAACTCTGAACCCTAATGATGACTTTCATCAAGGCTTGGAAGTATTGTATGTTCTGTCCTCAGGCGACGTGAAAGGAGAGCAGCAAGGGGAGCTTCTCCGTGGGATTTCCTTGGAGAAATTTGCTCTGCCTTCACTGTGCCCAGAGCCCATTGAGCGCCGGGTGGCCATGGAAGTCCAGCCCGATCTGCAGCACCCACTTTCCCGGAGCCCCTCCGGAGCTGCCATCTCAGCAGGTTGGTGCTTTCAGGAATCGGCGCGGGGTGAATCAGTGCCGAGCGGGCTCCGGAGCGCGCGGCCGCGGCTTTCCGGGGAAGGAAGTGGTGGCCGAAGCCGAAACCTTGTGGGTGGCGCGGGCGGGCGGGCGCGGGCCGGAGGTGCCGCGGGACCGGCCCCGGACGCCCGACCCGCTGCGGTCGGGGCGCGTGGCCGCCCTTCCTCCGCGGGGCCCCGGGACCCGCCGGCCTTTCCGCTCGTCCCTGAGGAAGCTGCTGCTTCCGAGGGACCCTCGCACCGGATGCGGCGGCCTCATCCCTGCTCCGTGCGCATGGATGGAGGAGCCGGATCCGCCGCGCCGGGGCTGCCCCGTTCCTGACCTGCGGGACCCTTGGCTGCTGTCCCAGCCTGGGAGCACCGGGACATTCCCGCATTTCCCCAGAGGACGAGCTCAGCTGGGCGCAGATGCCGCCAGGACCCGGCCCTGGGGCTGCAGGTCCGCCTGTCCCGTCCCCAGCCCTGCCCCAGGCGGCCACGGGCCCCTTCTCTGACCCTGGGGGGGACAGGACAGGGGGCCCTTGGTCCTGGGGGGCCTGTCCGGAACCCCCCATCCTCCCTGCGACGACACACGGCAGAGCAGCACAGGAGGCCTGGCGTTTTTTCAACTTTTATTTTAAAAGTCATAATTGAAGCTTAACAAAGTCTGACCCCATTATTACTGTGAGAGCCGGGGGGCGACCGCCCCGTCCCCGTGGAGCCCCAGTGCCACCCCTGCCCCCAGCCCCGTGCCCCCCAGAGCCCTCCCGTGCCAGGCCCTCACAGCGGGGCTCAGCAACGACTTTGACCACAAGCAACCTTAAAAGAACGTGTGTTTATGGGGAGGGGGGCCCTCGGGGGGGCCGAGGGCGCCCGGGGAGCGGGGCCGGGGGCCGCAGGCCCCGGGGAGCCCTGTGGCCCCCTCCCCCGGGACAGACATGCAGGTATTTTATAAAAGAAAGGCGGAGTGGGGAGGGGGCCGGGCAGGGCGGCTCCGCTCGGGACAGCATCTTCCCTCGGGACCAATAAAAAAAGCAGGGCCCGAGGGTCACGGGAAACCGTCGTCGTCGTCCTCCGCCATCTCCTTGGCAAACTCCAGGTCCTGCTGCTCGCGCTCCCGGCGCTCCTGCAAAGCCAAGGCAGACGCTGCGGGGTCTGGAGGGCCAGGAGGCAGCCCCGGCAGCCCTGGGGCCCGCGGGGCTGCAGCAGGAGCTCCGGGCCCAGGGCAAGCGAGGCCGCGAGGAGACCCCACCTCTGCAGATTCCAAGTCCTTGTTGTACGATTTGGGTGGAAACCTCATGGCCTGGGAGAAAAAACAAGGGAGAAGAGAAGCTGTGAGCAGAGAGAGAGCTCGACTGTACCTGGCATCCCTCGTGCCAGCCGCAAAGTCACCCCCAAGGCTGAGAGGGGACCTGGCTCTCCGTGTGGGCCGGGCGCCCGCGCCGCCACGCTCACCTTCACCGACATGTTGTGGATGTCGAGGCAGAAGGAGATGCGCTGGTGGAAGGCCAGCTGGGGCTCCCGCGTCGAGTAGATGTCGATCATTTCCTTGGACTGCACGTATCCCTTCTCGTGGTTGATGCTGGCCTCGATGACGCCGTCGCGGATGGCCTGCAAGGCGGGGGCCGCGCGCTCAGGGCACCCGCGGGCTCCTGGGGCCGAGGCAGCAGCTTAGAGCGAGGGGAACTGGCTGCTGCGCCAGGAGCGCAGGGACGGGATGCAGTGACCCAAGCGTCCCCAGGAAGGGGGGACAATTGGAAGCAGGAGTGTCCTGGCTGCAGCGGGAGGCTGCGGGAAGCAGGAGCTGCAGGCAGCTCTCAGGACCGAGAGCTGACAGTCACAGGAGACCTCAGGCTACCTTGGCTACGATGAACTCGGCGTCCTCGGGGCTGTCCAGCTGCAGCTTCTGGGCAATATCAGCCAGGGAGATGCGGGAGTAGGAGAGGCTGATCATCCGCACCCCTGGGACGAGGACACGAGAGCTGGGCCCCGCGTGGCTGGGCAGCCACCGCCCCACGTGCACGAGGTGGCACCGCCGTCACGCGTCACACCCGGCCGCAACGTCCTACCCGTCTTGATGACGTTGTGCCTCAGGCGGATGATCAGCGTGTAGGTGCCGTCGGCCTGGAACTTGTCCCCAAACTGATCGAGGACCTGGTTGAACTTGGCCAGGTTCCCAGTCCTGACGGCTGGAGCAGGCAGAGGAGGGAGGAGAGAACGTGTGAACTGGGGAAGGGGCCGAGGTGGCGCCGGGAGCGCGAGGCCGGGCCCGGCTCCCAGCCCCGCCACCCAGCCCTCCCCGAGCTGCGGGAGACCCCGGCAGAACCGCAGCAGCCCCTCGGGGGCTCCACACTGGCACCAGGGGAGTGGGGCAGCTGGGTCCCTTTGGGGCAAGAGCAAAGAGCCCCCCCATGGCTTCCCGCTCCCCCCAAGCAGGGCCCGGCGTACCCTGGGTCAGCAGGAAGTAGGGCATGAGCGAGCGCTTGAGCGAGGGCTGCCTGAACTGCAGCCGGTCGGGGATCTCGCCCAGCAGCAGCTCCACCACGATGAGCAGCTTGTGCACCTGGAGCGGGGAGAGCCCCTGAGTGCCCGGGGGCTGCAGAGCCCGGGACGGGGCTGCAGCGCCCCGGGATGGAGCCGCAGGGCCCCCAGGGCCGGTGCTGCAGGGCCCCGGGACTGCTTCTCCGTGGGGGCAGGAGGCGGGAGACGGGACGGGCACGGAGTCCTGCCCTTCCCGCCGCCGCCGCGCTCGGAAGCGGCGCCCCGGGCGCTCGCTCACCGTCTGCTTGAAGCCCACGGCCGTGTGCTGCGGCGCCTTGCGCAGGGCGTTCGTCATGGTCCTCCGCGCCTCCGAGTACTCCAGCTGAATGGCCTTGATGCGCCCTGGCAGCGGGAGAGGGTTCGTGGGGGGCGCTTGGAAAAGCCCCCAAGTGGAGCCACGTGGCCAGGGCTCCGGGCACCGGCGCCCGCCGCTCCCGTGTGGTAGCGGAGCCCAGACCCAGGGGCGCCCCGAGCCGCCGGCCCCACGCCTCTCACCCGTGTAGTAGAGGTACCGGGCCCACTCGTTGTTGTTGGCCTGCTCGGGAAACACCGACTTGGAGACGAGCTTCTCCGCCTGGTCGTAGAGGTTGTAGTGCAGGTAGTTCCTCAGCAGCAGGTTGAGCAGCGTGGCCTGCCCGTCGGCGTCGTGGCGCAGCGTGGCCGTGCGCAGCCGCGCGTGCAGGAAGCTGCGGCGGGCAGCGCGTCACGGGCGCCGCGCGGCTGCGGCCGCGGCACCGCCAACGAGGCCCGTCCTACCTCCTGACCACGTCGAGTTTGTTCAGGAACTCGTAGACGCGCGAGTGGTAATAGTAGCACTTGGCCACCACCAGGTCGAGGGCGCGGCGGTTCTGCGAGCTGATCTTCTGCATCAGGTCGTCAGACACTTTCTGGGCCTGCGGGAGGGGAGCGCAGAGCGGGACGGGCGGGATGAGGGGCGGCCGGGGGCCGAGCAGAGCCCCCCGCGGCGGGGAGCGGCGGCAGGGCGGCCTCACCTCGGCGTAGCGCTTGCTGTTCATCAGGTGGATGACGAGCAGCAGCTGCAGGTAGGTCTCCACCTCGGGCAGCAGAGGGGCCGCCGCCGCCTTCCCCGTGCGCGGGCGGAACTGCAGCTCCGCTTCCGTGTCCATGGACTGCGGAGAGGCGCGTCAGCGCCGGGGGGCACCCTGCTGCGCCCACCTATCCCAGCGCCCGGCGTCCCCTCCGGCGTCACCTCCTCCAGGAAGCCGAGCAGGAAGTCGCGCGCGGCGCCGTTGGAGGTGAAGAAGCCGTGCACGGCCTTGTGCAGCACGTTGGCGTTGAGGCGGCGCGAGGTGGAGGGCAGCGCGCGCAGGGCGCGCAGCACGTAGCGCGGCTCCTTGCCCGACACGGCCTTCTCCAGCTGCTTCACGTGCTCCTTGATGTCTGCGCCGAGGCCGCCTCAGCCCAGGGGCTGCTCCCGCCAGCCCCGCTCCCGCTGCTCCGGCTCCCACCAGCCCCGCTCCCAGGAGCCCCGCTCCCGCCGTTCCTGCTCCCAGGAGCCCCGCTCCCGCCGTTCCTGCTCCCGCCGTTCCTGCTCCCGGCCCCGCCGTGTGAGTGACGGGCGCCGTGGGCGGCTGCTCCCACCCGGGGCTGCCTCTGCCCTGGGCAGGGGGCCGGGCTGGGCGCTTCCAGAAGCCCCTTCCCACCTTGGCTATCCCTCTGTCCGTGGGCTCTGGCTCCCTTTGCAGCCACCCCCGCAACTTTCCCTATTTCCACTGCCCTTGTTGCCCCCGCTAAAAGTGACCCCCCCCCCCCCAAGACCTC